AAGACAAGATATAACATGGTCCTCAGACGAGATTCTATTGACATTGCCATGTAAGGTGAGTGTATTTTGTTCGCCTCTCTTAATGGGTTGGAGAAGAGCTCGAAATCAAGTGCTAGAGGCTCTTATACTTTAATAAAGTTAATATATTGTGCACTGAATCTTCCTGGGGATACTACCTAAGTGATATTATAGTAGTCCATAGTCATGTGAGTCATATGCTATAATCCGTTTGCTTTTGGCATAGGTCAGACCAATTAATTAAACGGTTATATTATGGTGAACTTGAATTCTTCAAATCTTTTGTGGTTACTTTTATCTCTGAAATTCCTTCCATAATATGGTTTTGCTTCTGATTTTCTATTTTGTCTGTAATATAGGGGCTCTTATTATAGAAGAATCAGTATGAGGTTTCTTCCAGGTGCTAAGTATACGTATTTTCAAATTAAATGTTTGAAGAATGGGGAAATAATTTCAAGGTCTCTTCATTGACATATTGAACCTAGTCTGGGGTAGACTTGCACCAAAACTCAATTTACGATTTGGCCTCTAGTCTAACTGGAGGATTATGACAGTATTTTAGGTCTGTATCAGTGATAGTTCAGATATTATATCCAATAATCCTTAAGAGGTATGTGTATTCCCCTTTCCCCAACACACAATTCTTCTGGCAAGTTGATCCTTTGTCAACCTCTCCTTTCTCTTAGGAAGTTCATGCACCTTCCTGTAATTTGCTGCAATCCATAATCCTATCGAAGCTCCAAAGAGATGGTTGCCCATGGAGATTGTCAAAATATTGAGTCTCAAGTCACCATTCGATATCCAGAATCTCCTCATCCAGAATTAAGTTCTTCCCACCACTCACATCTAACAGTTTTGGGATCCATTCCTCAAGAGTGTTCTCCCAGCTCACACAATTTCAGATTTGTGAAGCCCTGCAAATACATTTGGGGTATAGGCTATTTCCTTTCGCATTCAGAGCTTTACTTGTGTTGTGCTGATATCTGAGTCTATTTATTGGTCTCTAGGTAATGAGGGCTGGGGCATCTGATTTTGAGAAGCACAAACATCAATCTTTTGAGGATCCTGTTTCAGGTGAAGTCATTGTATATTTTCCAGCAAAGGAGCGCTATTATTCTGGAGCATGGGGAGGGGAATGACTCCACCAGCACAAAGGTTCAGAGAATTTGCAGGTTCAAGATCTCAGGTTTTCTCACTCTGAGACACCTCAGGCACCTGGAACTCTAGTAGCACATGGGACATGTGCCCTTGATGCACAGCATTGCGCTCTGCACTTGGCTTCTGAAGCAGATGTCCATGGTATAGATCATATGGCACCATTTTGCAGATTAGAAACAGATGGCCTTTTCTCGTGCTACGTGAGAAATAGTATTCCCAATAATACAATTTCTGAGTCATTCTGTACGAATTATATACATTAAATTATCAAATACAAGGTGATTATTTGAAATTTTAATCATGATAATTAGAGATTCAAAAATCAAGATTATATACAAATTTTTAATAATATATTTACAGATCTTCCATTTATAGGAAAGAAGATTTTGATAGTTAACGATCCCTAGATTTAGCATTTATGTTTTTACAGCTTTATTGAGATATAATTCACATACTATACAACTCACTCAATTAAAGTGTATAACAATGTTTTTTAGTACAGAAGCCTGTGCTACCAACAACATTATCTAATTTTACTACATCTTTGTCACCCAAAAAGGAAACTCCATACCCACCAGCAGTCACTCCTCATTCTCTACCTCCATCACCAGCAGCCCTAGGCAAACACTAATCTGCTTTCTGTCACTGTAGATTTGCTTTTCTGGACATTTCATATAAAAAGAATCATAGAATATGTTGTCTTGTATAACCTGCTTCTTTCACTGAGCATCATGTTCTTAGAGTTTCGTCAGTGTTGTGACAAGTATTAGTATTTATTTCCTTTTAATTGGTAAATAATATGTCATTTTTGGGATATACCATTTATCTATGCTTCAGTTATTTGACATGTGGTTGTTTCCCCATTTTGGCCATTGTGAATAATGCTGCTATGAACATTAGTGTACAAATTTTTGTGTGAATAATGTTTTCAGTTTTCTTGGGTAGACACTTAAGCATAGAATTGCCGGGTCATTGGTAATTATATGTTTAACCTTTTGAGGAACTGTCAAACTGTTTTCCAAAGAGACTGCACCATTTTACATTACCGCCAGTAATGTATGAGAACTCCAATTACTCCACATGCTCACCAACACTTATTATTGTCTGTCTTTTGATTCTAGACATCCTAGTGGGTGTGAAGTGGTATCTCATTATGGCTTAGGCTTACACTTGTTAATGACTGAAGGTGTTGTACGTCTTTTCATGTACTTTTGACCATTAGTATATATTCTGTTCAGATATTTTGCCAATTTTTAATTGCGTTATTATCTTTTTATTATTAAGTGGTAGGAGTTCTTTATATAGTCTGGAAACAAGTTCCTTATCAGATACATGATTTGCAAGTATTCTCTCCCAATCTGTGGGTTGGCTTTTAACTTTGCTGGTGACATAATTTTCAGTACAAAAGTTTTTATTCTGATTAATTCCAAAGGAGCTAAAGTCACTATTATGTACTAATTTTCAATAAAATATTTATACATATTCCATTCATTTGAATGAAATTCTTAATGACAGTTGCAGTTCTGTTTTTTTCTGTAGAAATGATCACTAGATTTGACAGTAATTTTTTATCAGGACTTAGAGATATTGATAAGTTTTTCTTTAATGCATTTCCTTTTCTGAAATAAGTTTTACATACAATGAAATACAAAGCTGTGAAGCATATAGTTTGATGATTTTTGATAAATGTATGTACTCTTTAACAAACTCAAGATCTAGAATACTCTTATTAACCCAGAAAGTTCTATCATGCACTTTTTCAGTCAATTCCCCTATATACAACCACTGTTCTGATTTGTATCACTCTATTTTAGTTTTGCCTGTTCCAGAACTTTTCATATAAATTGAATCACAGCATTTACTCATTTGTGTGTGGTCTCTTTGTTTTTGAGAATCATGGTGTTGAGGTGTGTATCATTAGTCGATGAATTGCCTTTGCTGAAGATTATTCTATTATGTCTATTCTGACAATTTCTGTCTTTTTAATGTAGCGTATTTGCATTTCACGTAATTGTTAAAATTTTTGAAGTTAAGTTCATCCTATTGTAATTTACTTTTTCTTTGCCCTCTTTATAACTTACTTTCTTTCTTTCCTGTATTCTTTTGAGTTAATTTGAGTAGGTGATTTTTGTTTAGGAACCAATTCTATCTTCTCTAGTGACATCTTTTTTTATTTAATAGATTTTATTTTTAGAGTAGTTCTGGATTTACAGAAAAATTGAGCATAAAATACAGAGATTTCCCATGTACCCCTGCCCCTACTCATGCATAATCTTCCCCACTACGAATATCCCCACCAAACTTGTACATTTGTTACAAATGATGAACCTACATTGGCACATCATTATCATCCAAGTCCAGAGTTCACATTAGAGTTCACTCTTGGTGTACATCCTATGGGTATGGACAAATGTATAATGACATGTATCCACCATTGTAGTGTCAACAGAATAGTTCCACTGCCCTAAAATCCTCTCTGCTTCCTCTATTGATGCCTCCCTCCACCCCAACCCCTAGCAACCACTGAACTTTTTAGTGTCTCCATAGTTTTGTCATTTCCAGATGACAAAACTGTAATCATACAGTATGTAGCCTTTTCGGACTGGCTTCTTTTACTTAGGAATATGTATGTAAGTTTCTTCCATGTCTTGATAGCTCAATTCTTTTTAGTGTTGAATAATATTCATTTGTCTGTATGTGCCAGTTTATTTATCTATTCACCTACCGAAGAACATTATTGGCTATTATGAATAAAGCTGCTATAAACATATGTGTGCAGGTTGTGTGGACATACGTTTTCAGCTCCTTTGGGTAAATACCTAGGAGCGTGATGGCTAGGTGGAAGTCTTAATTCATATCCATGATGTAAATATTGCTGTTTAAAAGCATAAAATCTTCCTCTGAGTTATCTCTCTTTGTTTTAATCTATGAATATTTTAAAATTCACTAACATCAACTGCTTACACTCTCTACTTCTAGTCCATATAAATCTATCACCCTTTATTTGGGCCATCTATTCTACAATTAAAATAACTTGATATTAAAACAAAATACTATAATTTGTATAATTCTAGAGAAACCTTAATACTACCCCCAAAATCAGAAGGGATGAAATTGGGAACATAAAGTAGATTTTGCCAAATAAGTATTATCATGAGTATAAAACCCCAAATCAAAGCCATCTTAAGATTAAAGAAGTACTTCAGAAGAGAAAATTTTCTCTCCATGTTCTATCACTGTTCTAGAAGGATCTAGGTAAACATATGGTAAGAATTCAAACTATAACTCAAGCAATTGAGGGGAGATTATCTAGATTATATACTATCCCTTACAACATGAAGCTTCTACAATTATTTGGATCTGGTACTTTCTGCTGAGTCAGAAAGAAGAACCAAGTTGAAGGTTCATGATCAGACATTGTGAGACCAATGTGTCTAATAAAAGAAACCATTTGAAACAGGGAAAACCTGATAAGCTATGGATATAAGCAAATAGACGTATAACTATAAACAGAGAACACCAGAAGTCAACATGTAGAAGGTCAGGGAAAATGTTAGATCAGAACAAAAGTGATACTTGGCAGGCAAGAGAGGCAGAGACACAGAGGTGAACAACATGTAAAGCAATGGACCTTACATACCTGTTTATACCCAATGATGTCTCTTCCTTTACATAAAATTGACTGAACACTAACCAGTGTATGAATAACCAGTGTATTCTTATTGCCTATTTTCCTGAAGAAACTAATTCTCATGCCCCAGGTTATGATTATACTAATTCCACAATAAGAAACAATATTCTCTAAGGACTTCTCCTGGTTCAATTCAAACTGTGAAGAAAAATTTGAAACTTCCAATTATCTTTTTCATCTGAGATCGACTTCTGCTCCATACCATCCTCATGGCATTTTTCACTTCTGCATTCCTCAGTGTATAAATCAGAGGGTAGAGCAAAGGTGTTCCTATAGTATAAAACACAGCTATTATCTTATCCATGGAGAAGGTGGTTGCAGGATGTGTGTATATAAATATGCAAGGACCAAAGAACAAGATGACCACGATGATGTGGGAAACGCAGGTGGAGAGGGCTTTCCTCCTCCCTTCAGCACTGTGGTTTCTCAGAGAATACAAGATGATAATGTAGGAGAACATCAGCATGACAAAACTCACTGTACAAATGGCCCCACTATTGGACATTAAGAGTAGATTGACCACATGGGTGTCCGTACAGGCAAGTTTCAGCAAAGGCTGCAAGTCACAGAAATAGTGATCAATCATATTGGGACCACAGAAAGGTAAACTCAAGGCCAGAAAATCTGAGCTGAAGAATGCACACAGGACCGCATCCAGGCCACAGCCACCAACACACCACAGACCCATGGGCTCATCATGGTCACGTAGTGAAGGGGCTTACAGATGGCCACATAGTGGTCAATAGCCATGAGGATTAGGATGAAGATCTCTAGGCAACCAAAGAAATGTGACCAAAAGACTTGGATTATACACTCACTGAAAGAGATAGTGGTATTCTTCAAAAGGGCATCCACAATCATTCTAGGGGCTATGGAAGTAGAGAAGCAGGTATCAGATAAGGATAAATGGAAAAGGAAGAAGTACATTGGACTCTCAAGAGCCTGGCTGGTCTTGATGGTAGTAATAATCAGTAAGTTACTCAACAATGTCCCCAAATAGAAAATCAAGGAAGTGACAAACACTATCTTCTTTTTAACAGGATCCTGGGTCAACCCAAGCAGAGTGAACTCAGTCACATTATTGTTCAGCTGCATGATTTCATGAATGAGGAGAAAGGATGAGTGTGAAATAGATTATCTACAAAAAAATAAAGGAATTAATATATGGTGTGATATGAGATATTATGGAATATTTTAAGCAAATTAATTTATGATGTTATGTGAGAAAATGGAATATTTTAAGCAAAATTAAATATTATTCATCAGGTACATTCTCCGATTTCTTAATGCCACTTCAGTACTTTTTCCTTAATTTTTAATGACCAGTTCATTGGGCATATTGAGTCTCAAGCTTGTGAATGTAATACTTTCCTACAACATTCTTCAAATACAACCATTTGTTAGCTTTGACATTATTCTGATTAATTTTGCTAATTCAGTAAATATAAAATTGAAATATTCTTCATTTTATTATTTCCTTTAGTTTTTTTTTTCATTTTAATAAATCTTGGATCCCATGTATTGCATGGTATATTACTTGGCATTTAGAATATACGACTACCCTTGTACATTCATGAATAATAACAAACATCTCATACACCACTTATGACAAAATAAAGAATGTATTCTTTATATATTTCTGTGTATATTACATATTGTTATACACATTTAAACAAATGGATGTAATTAGGAATACATAGTGTTCTCCACTTCTCTGAACTTCCCAGATATTCCAACTTGAAAGGAGGGACAGGAAACACTGCCTTTAAATCATCTGATACAAAGTACAAACACCATTATGGTATTAGTTCTTGACGAATACTAATGAACAGAAATGAACGCTCTTTGATAGTTGTTAATATCTCAGATGCCACCATTTTTATTTGTCTTTCTTCAGTTTCTGAGGAGGCACTCCTTAGAGCTACTGACGTTACATTTCTAAATTAAAGGGGACTATTACTTGATAGTTTGTTTTCACAATTCAAGTTTTTAGCTTAAGCATTGTAGATCTAGAGTGGTTTGTCTTGGGGTGTCACCAGGCAGATGGTGTAAGATCAGATCATGATTTTACTCCCCCAAACTCCACACTCAAGAAACAGAGCAGAGAAGCAGAAATGGGAGGGAGATGTGGTTTTAGAAAGAGGCACGGTAGATAGTCAGTAACTGACTTCTTCATTATTTTTTTTCTGTTTTAGCAAAGTCAATGATTATTGAACTTTGAAATGTCATTCTTTCAATGAAGATTTCTTTCTTTAAAATTTGAAAAGAAATATCATCATGACCCTCATTTACAAAAACAACACCTTTCTCTAGATATTTCTTACCAAGTTGTTATTGGAAGAGACACGATATGCCATTAAAAATATAAACCGAAATGTGGTATATTTAAATATAATCTTGAAGACTTACGTCTTCCTTCCCAATCCCACCCACACCTCAAATATATTGTCTTGCAAGTTTTCAGTTGACCAAAGCTTAGACTATGATAGACCATATAGACAAAAAATTACCCTTATATATGTTTTCTCTTCTTTTAGTAAATTTTCTTCTCCTCAATAGACTTGAAATTTCCCTTATCTTTCTCTAAATCAAAACCAATTCTTGGGAAAATGATGAAATTATTCACCTTTGTGTGTCAAGGATAAAAAAAAAAAAGTCTCTTTAGACTTTGTGATCTTGGACTGATCTGAAGATCAGATCTGAAGAAGACCTGAAACTACAAGAGAACCGAGTCTTGGTATCTTAGTCATTTCAATGAGCTTATTCTTTCATTTACTCACTTAAACGAGTGCTGTATCATATAATATTAGCATTTGAAAATACGGTAGGCATCGGAAGCAAGATGTTGCAAAAGTCTCTGTCTCTCTATTTAGTCAATGATTTTGACCACTCTCTTGAGAGTGTAGTTTTTGGTTTGTATATAATCAATCCTATTAGTCTATCCATTTCTAGGACAAACACCTATTTTTTTTACATTTGGACATACATACTTAAAAATTAAGAATAATATATATATATAATTTAATTAGAATTAATAATTATAGGTCTTCATCAAATATTTAATCAGTAGTTTCATGATGACATTAAAAGTCAACACTCCAATCTGCGTCTGTAAAGCTAATTTTGAGACTTTGGACATGTTCCAAAAAGTCCAAACTACTTTAGTCATATATTTATTAGTTTCTTTGTAAAATAATCTCTGTAGTCTCAAGTACATTTCAAGGATTCTCTATGTTAAACAAAGGGACTTTTAATCTATTTTGTAATAGATTATGATCTAGAAAAGGGAGAATATAGTTCTCAAATCAACAAGTATTTATTGAAGTCTGTGTATAAACAGGGTATGTTCACAATGCAATGGGAGCATACAGGGACTATTAAATATATCAGGTGAATCTCTGTCATGGAAGTAGTGTAGAAACTAAGGATTAAAAATAAATAGTTGTAGTGGATCCAAGCTTACCTTGCCTTCTTTCTTCCTGGAATGCCTTTTCATTTCTAGCTGCTTCAACCTTCTCTGAACTTTAGGACCGAACTGCTGAGAAACATTCTCTAGGTAACTTTGAGTGATTGCCTGTGAGAAGGGAAATTCACTCTTTTGATCTCTACCGGCTTTTTTAAAAATAGCTTTTCTTGTAATATTAGATTTTATTGCTTATAATGCAAAAATTAGTGTGTTTATTTGAGCTTCCTTCCCAGAATGAGAATATTGGAAAACTATGTGTTCTTAGGTATTTATTTCCCACAGTTCCAACCCAATGTCTTGCACTTTGGAGGTGCTCAGTAAGACCTTTTAAATTGAATATTCTCTACTACCCCTTAAAATGTGATAATATTTATCACATCGTTGTACTGTACTGATTACAAGACACATTCACAACATAAATTTACTGGGGCCTTCTATCTATTAACAATGCCAATAGTAAGTCGTCCCCTATCAATAATTACTTTAAATGTATTTGGATTAAAATCTTCAATCAGAAGATGTAAAGCAGCTGAATGAGTTATAGAAAAAAAAAAGCAAGATTATACTATGTGCTGTCTATATGAATAATAACTTCAGATTTAAGGACATGAACAGTCTGAAAGTAATGGCATGGAAAATGATATCCAACGCTAATAATAAAAGGGATCAGATGTGGCTATAATTATATCACAAAAATAGTCTTTAAGTGAAAAATGGTCAAAGGAGACAAAGAAGGATATTATATAATGATAAAAAGATAAATTCATCAAGAGAACATAATTATAAATATACATGCACACAACATCAGAGCACCTAAACATATAAAGCAAATATTAACATAACTGAAGGGAGAAAGAGGGAGCAATGCGATAATAGTATGACACTTCAATACTCCCATTTCAATGCTGGATAGAACATCCAGGCGGGAAGTGAATCAAAAAACAGCTGATTTAAACAACACAATAGACTAAATAGACCTAACAGACATATACAGAAGTTTTCACGTAACAGTAGTGGAATATATATTAAGTAACTAAACCCAAAAAAATAGAAGAAAGCAAGTAATGAAGATTAGAGCAGAAATAAATGAAATAGAGAAAAGAAAAATCAATGAAAATCAGATATGTTTTTTTTAAAAGATAAAAAAAATCAATAAAGCCTTACCTAGACTAACCAAGAATAAAAAAAGACTCAAATGAATAAAATCAGAAATGAAGGAGGAGACAGTTCAATGGATGACACAGAAATATAAAAGATAAAAGGGACTATTATATATAACAATTACATGCCAAGAAATTGGATAACCTAGAAGAAATGGAAAAATTCCTAGAAACCTACAACCTACCAAGATTGAATCAATAAGAAATAGAAAGCCTGAACAGACTAATAACAAATAAGAAAATTGAATCGAAAACTTTCGTACAAAGAAAGGTCCAGGACCAGATAGCTTCATGGATGAATTCTACCAAACATTCAAATAACTACTATTACCAACGCTTTTCAAACTCTTCCAAAAAGTAGAAGAAGGAACACCTCCAAACTTTTTTTTGACACTAGCATTGCCCTAATTCCAAAACCAGACAAAGACAACATAAGAAAAGAAAACTTTATGCAAATTTCCCTGATGAAAATTGATGCAAAAATCTTCGATAAAATACTAGCAAACTTAATTCAACAGCACGTTAAAAGAATCATTCATCACAATCATTTCAGATTTATACCTGGGTTGCAAGGATAGTTCAATATATGATAATCAATAGATGTCATACACCACATTAACAGAATGAAAGACAAAAATCACATGATTATCTCAATAGATGTAGAAAGAGCCTTTGACAAAATTCAACACTTTTTCTTGATAAAAAGTCTCAACAAAATAGGTATAGGAGGAACAGAACTCAACAAAATAAGGTTTTACATAAAAAATCCACAGCTAACATCATATTCAGTTAGGGAAAACTGACAGTTTTTTCCCTAAGATCCAGAACAAGACAAGGATGCTGACTCTCACTACTTCTATTAACCACAGTACTGAAAGTCCTAGCCGTGGCAATTAGGGAACCAAGTTGGAAGAGAAGAGGCAAAATTTCCTATTTCCAGATGACATGATCATATACATAAAAAACCCAAAGACTCTACAAAAAAACTGTTAGAACTAATAAATTCAGTAAAGTTATCAGGTACAAAAATCAATGTATAAAAATCACTGGTGTTACTGGTGTTACAATACATACACAATGAAGTACCTGAAATGGAAATTAAGAACTCAATCCACACTAACAATAAAATGAATAAATACTTGGGAATTAACCCACCCAAAGAGGTGGAAGTCTTGTACACTGAAAATTATAAAACATTGATGAAAATTTAAAAAGACACACATACATGGAAAGACATCCCATATTCACGTGTTAAAAGAATTAATACTGTTAAAATGTCTTAATACCAAAATGGATCTACAGATTCAATGTAATCTCTGTAAAATCTCAATGTTTTTTATAGAATTAGATAGAAAACAATTCTAAAATTCATATAGAACCACAAAAGATCCCTAATAGCCAAGCACCTTGAGCAAGAAGAACAAAGCTGAGACATCACAATTCCTGATCTCAAATTATATTACAAAGCTATAGTAATCAAAAC